CTACTTAAGGAACTACTTGTTGTTGTTGTTGTTTTTCTTCAAACGGAGCTAATTGTATCATCAGGAAATAAGATAACTGGATTGGCAACAAGCACGCGAATTACTCATTAAAAATAGCGTTAACGAGGCCCATTTTGCATCGTTGATTTTGCTAATTCTTGTGTTCTAACCTGCTTAAACTCGTATTTTTCTTCTGAGAACAAAACAAGAAAACGAGCAAATATAACCATGATTATCACCACTTTTTTCAAAACTCTCTCCCTCTCGTTCTCTATCCCTCGAACCCTTAATCTTTATACCTTGGCCCGGGCAGTACAGTGTAAGGTCTGCCTTTTCCAATCGGATAAATGCCGTGGGTTCAGAAGTATTTTTCGCATAGGGAGCGCTTTGCTGGATAGTGCACATCGAAATAGGTATAATTTGGCGATATGTATTATTATTACACCATCCAAAATTTAACTCAGTCAAATTACAAGCAACAAAACTAGTATGGCTTTCGTGTACGCCAGAAACAAAAATTATGCAAGGAAAATGCACTAGTCTTGTCTAAAGCTGTTATCTGCGTCTCTAGGGTCTCTGAGGTTGACTTGTAAAGATTTATTATTCACTTTGGTTGTCAGCTGCTGCTCTGGTGCACTGTTCCACAGATCGTGCTGTAAATGACTTTATGTTGTCAGCTGCTGCTCTGGTGCACTGTTCCACAGATCGTGCTGTAAATGACTTTATGTTGTCAGCTGCTGCTCTGGTGCACTGTTCCACAGATCGTGCTGTAAATGACTTTATGTTGTCAGCCCATAGTAGTCTCTGCCTTCTTACTGCCCTCATCCCTTTTCCTTGCCTTCTCGTATTTTTATCAAAAGTGCGCTGCAAATCTTATTGTGGCCAAAATATTGTAGGTTTCTTTCTTTGATTTTGTACAGAAGGCCTGGAGATGTGTTTGGTATTTGACAGACTTCTTCGTTTGTTTCTATGTCTATCCATCTGATCTTGTCCATTCTGCTATAGCACCGCATTTCAAAGGCATCGATTGAATTCTCAATATCTTTGCCTATAACAGACCATGTGTCTGATCCGTACATGAATATGGAAAAGATGTAACAGTTCAGCAGACATCGTCTGATTGGTAGTGAGATCTAGCGAGATGTAATGAACTTGCCCTTTTCACTGAGCTTATTGACTTTTGTTAAGCTTTTTTTTATTGTGAATGTGATGTTTTTTCTCAGAAGCAAGTGACTGAAACAGAGCTTACAGCACAGTAGAGGGTCAACATTTCAGATTACTTGTCGTTCAATTTTTTTTTTTTATGTTGCATCCAGGAATGGGAAAATGTTTCTTGTTGATGTCAAAATTCAAACTTTTTTAAAACATCGAGACAAAGACAGCAAAGGAAATTACTCTTTCTCTATCAGTGCTATAATAGGTACTTTTTGTTTTCAACTGCTAGCTTTATGTCTCTCTGAATTGTGAATAGGGTATTGCTTATTTTTATATTGGGGTGGGGGTGGTGGAGTGTGTCCTCATCTATTCGAATGCATAAAGTTGAACTCTCTAAATGATCACGTTACTGCACGTATTGTTAATACAACACATACGTAAAATAAATAACAAAACCCCCAACAAAGAGCCAAAGTACTTCAGAATGAAAAGGTAATAAGATACCGGCTTTAATCCATTAGATTTTAAAAACTCCCAGTGGTTAAAAACGTAGTGCTCCAGATACAGCACACTGGAGACCACTAAGTGTGATTTAGATCCTTTGATTGAACTCAAATGACCGTGGCAAACGTGACCCGGAACCCCATATCGAATTTATGCCAGCACCCCCCCCCCCCAAACCCCCACCCCCACCACCTGTTTTGACGTTCTTCCATTCATTTATTGTACAGTGTGCCACGCCTTAAAATTAGCCTACAAGAAGTAAACACTACTGAAAGTTTGGGCCACGTGCAGGAACAAAAAGTCCACCAAAAACAGCTGAGAACAGAAACAAAAAGTCCTTTGTTTCTTTCTATACTTTTCAGTACTTGTAACGCATTGCATACAACTCAGGAATTGCTACATTGATCTCAGCTTGACAAAGTTAAAATGATATCACTTTCTTGCGAAATTTAAAAACATATTTATTTAAGTTGTAATTCTATTTTTTTTTAAAACTGATCTGGACACAGGGGGTAATTTGTTATCGATACAACATTTAATACCATCGATATCTCTACTTGTCTCCCAATTCTGTAAAAGGAGAAACCCAAAGGAGACCTCTTTGGTTTCAACTCACACACATAGTCTTTTGAAGTGAGGTGAAATCAATATGTGTGACTGTACGCAGTTCACAAAACGACACAGACGTTAGCACCGTGGCAGAAATGAAATTTCACTCAGAATAAAACTATAAAACGTATATCTGAGCGAAAAGAAAAAAAAATAATAGCATTCATATTTAGCAGAAAATATATAAATTCCTTGATGCCTGTTGGCAACTTCAGTGTTTTTCATGGGGTCGAATCTACTCTCTTTGATAAGAATTGAACCAGAATGTGATGACGTTGCATTTTCTTTAATTCTGTGAGGCTGATCAGATCCTTCTTTACGCAGTCCCTGTTTAAAAGCATTTATTCCTTGATTTAGGAAACACGTGGGCCAACTGGGAAAAAATATTATACTCAAGAAGGAGCGAGACGTGCACGCCAGTTCACTGTAATATGGTCGGAGGCCATGTCCTCTGCACCTAGCAGATTTATTGATAGTATGCACCCACTCCTTAGTTTCTTGATTCTAAGTAATCTCACCTGAATTTTGTTCGGGTGGTTTTGCGAATGTTAGCATTTTCGTTATAAGATTCCGTCATATTCTCGCCCGCTCTCCCACTCCATCACTTTATTTTTTTCAAAGTACCCAAACATCAGATTTCGGTTGCAATGATCTAATGAGACTCAATCCTGTGTGGGAGTCTAAGGTGAGCATCATCAAAGTACTGACCGAGGGGTCAGTTAGTCTGGCTCTTAGCCATACCACCATGTGTGGGGGGGGGGAGATCTGTTTGTTGCGTGCTTAGTACTAGCACAAAAATCACTAGTATTTTTTAAATTTATTTTTATAACGCAGACTCGATTTTTCAGATTCAGTTATGAGTTCGATGTGCGTGATATAAACTTACTATACTTACGTGCAACATATTTATAATAGATAACATTTTGGTAGATGTTATTTTCTAGTCTTTGTTTTCTTTGTTTGCATTATATGTATTGATAAATCAATAGCTTAGATGGTTTTTATTCTCTCAGTTATCCAGTCCATTAAAAAAAAATGGTGATCCCTAGACTAAAGCATAGGCTAGAAGGGATATATTGTGGGTTTTCTTAGTGGTTTAGTTATAGTGTCTGTGTGCTCGTTGAACCAGCATATCATTTTAAATGTTACTCGGGCTCTTACAGCGAGCCAGATCAGTTTAATTCGGTAATTTTATACATAAAAACTAGCGTTTTGATACCCGCTTGATCAAAATCTTTCAAATGACCACGGATTGCTGAATGCTTTTTTATTGTGGAAGTCTCGTACATTTAAAAGGCCCTCTATGGATGAATCTCACGAACCACAGTCGTTTCTACTCTAACGGCCACCTGTCCGAGACAATCACCTGAACATGCAACCATTCCTCAAATTCCCTCATGCTATGTTCTATATCATAATGACACTGTCCAAAACGTCGATCTCTGAGAGACAGCTACTGTTCTCTTCAACAATGAGTAGCAGTATTGGAGAATTCCGACCGTACTCGCAGCTCACAACAAGTTATGGTATACACGACATCGAAAAATGTTAAAAAGAGTTACAAAGAGAAAAAAATGGGTCACACACGACATACTGGCCATGTTTAAATTATGATTTAGCTAATTTTACGAGCACGTGCAGGATTCACGGTTCCTGTAAGTGTATCCCTTGCAATGGATTCCATTCTCTTTGTAGTAATTATATTTTCTTTTTTCAACTTCTTTAGGTAATTAACTACTTTTACACCGAAACAATCCTAATAAATAAGGTTTTTTAACAATCAAAGAAATAGGTTTTTGCTGACGTAGCAAACAGAGTCCTATTAGTGTAAACTGTCTGTCTGTCTGTCTGTCTGTCTGTCTGTCTGTTAATCTGAGTCTTAGCCTGTCAGACGCTCTCCTTCAATAGTTCCGTACAAAAGTGTCAGTATGATAGTGTGTGTATGTATGTGTGTGTGTGTGTGTATGTGTGTGTGTGTGTGTGTGTGTGTGTGTGTGTGTGTGTGTGTGTGTGTGTGTGTTTGCGTAGGTATTTGGGTACATCTTTAAAAAATAAACCAGCTTTAATAACAGATGCTTTGACACTTCAATCATTTGTTGGGGAAAAAAAACAAATACAAAAAACAAAACCCCCAAACCCCTCCCCAAACCCACAACCCCAAACAAACATATGATAAACAACAACACAAACAAAACAAAACAAAAAGCAAACCCAAAAACAAAATCTAGCAAACAAAAAGACTTAATAACTCTTATCCGTGAGTCTTTCAGCTCACAGAAGGAAGAAAACGCGGATTTTAGAAATCGGCATTATAATTTGGCACCTCAGACAATGTTCATAACATGAGCGCTAAGTACACTATCCTTAATCATTTCACTGCCTAGCCAAAGACATTCACGGGCTTTTCTATGCGATTTCAGTGGAGGCTTGACAATGAAGGGGTTAATAATCTACACCTCACAAAATAAAGACACCCTTTGTCCCGAGGCTGAAGTGACATGCTTGTATTTCAATTAAGTTCAGTACACATTCAGAATTCAAGAAAGGCCGTCGACAATCCCATGTTTTTTTGTGTGGTGTTATCTTTCTGGAGACTTTGAATGTTCAAGGGTGTGAACTCTAACCGCGGTTACGTATTGGTAACAGTGCAAAGCAATTTGAACCTCCCCCCCCACCCCCTCCCCCCCCTAAAAAAAAAGAAGAAAAAAAAAGAAAACTATCAAGTTACTCACCTCAGTTAGCAAATTCCTTCTGACGTGTCTTCACCTTGATCTGGAGTTGTCAAATATGACGTAATAACAGTCCTGCATAACAGAGGAACCTGAAATTACAATGTGCAGTACTCAATAAATAACTGTATGGTTGAAAGACCACAGGGCGTCTACTAGTACAGGTGAACAATTTTGTTTAAGTTACGTAAAACACCTAACAGAATAAAGGCACACGTGCTGTTTAATAAGTAGAATGACTGGCATAATCCAGAACTGCTAAAAGCATTACTAAATACCCCCCCCCCCTCTCTCACCTTTCCCAAGAATGACAGACGCCAATAAAGATAAGGGGTCGTCTCTTAAATTGGTCTTTGAGTCGGGTTTTTGATTAGTACGTAAGAACAAACTTTGATTATTAGATATGCCACTTCAAATTTCATAACACTGTCTAGGTCACAATCCGATAGACCAGTTAACAGTTTTAGAGTCTAAGTAAGACACCCAATTCAGCGGATGTCCGCCCACACAAAACATGAAATAAGTGTACATACTGATGTGAATTTAACACACAAATCACCAACATAATAATATTAAGGGTAGAATCATAACTTAGAATTGAACTGTCAAAATTAACAACACGATTGCTAAAAGCCCAAAGACGATACTTTTGTGTAGGAAGTGCTACCCAACTTCAAATGACTATAGCTCCTCACTCAGTGTTGAACGTTTGACAGGATTATTCTTGAATAGAAAAGACATGAACATTTTATTCATCCAGCCTTGTACCTTCACAAACAAAATGTTTATAGGGTAGACTGACAAAAATGTTTTTATATATTTTTTATAAGTAAGTTAATATTACTACTTATTACATTAGTCTTATCAAGAGGCCAACACATCAGCTAACCCGTGGTATTATAGCATTCACTCACAACACTTGTTCTTTCAGTTTCAGCTTGAATTCTAGAGTTGGAACAAGTACCCTGCCTCTATCAACATCGACTGTTCACCTTATAGGCCTATTTTCGCCAGAAATAATAATGTCTATCGCTTCATTTATCCAAAGAAAAAACTTCGCAAACAATGTACTTTTAATTATATATTATATAAAGTCGCTTTTTCTTTTTATCGCTCCTGTTTTTCTTCTCACATCATTTAGTACTCAAAGGTCGTCACTAAAGGGGAACTTTTTTAAACGATTCAATAGGTACTCAATAATGACTACGTAGTCCTCTGTATAGATTAAATTAATAATGGTCGATGCCTGTGCGTAAGTTCGTCAATTTCGCTGACGACTCAAGTTTTGGGCATTCAGTCAACTCACGCCCCCCCCCTCTCTCTCTCTCTCTCTCTCTCTCTCTCTCTCTCTCTCTCTCTCTCTCTCCATTTTGATAGCGGTACCAAATTAAATCAAATGAAAAAAAACTGTGACACTCTCAGGTTAGTTGTTTACTCGATAGAATAGATACAGTATTAAACACCCGAGACTACACATTGTTTCTCCACAAATAAAACAATTAGGATATTTTTTTTAATGGTTTGCTATTTCATGTAGACCTCGTATTACAGAAGCAATCAAAAAGCAGTCAAAGGTACAACACCGTATCATTTTTTCAAATAATGTGAGCTATATTACCGATCTCAGCTTGAGACATTCTTTGTTATTTTAGGAACAGATTACACTTAAATAGAGATACAAAAAAATTGCAATTTCCACAAGTCAATACATGTCGTCATCTGCACACAAGATCGCATGTAATGGCAGCCCAAGCAGTCTGCCCTCGACCCGACCAGTTAGAGTGCACTAATCGATGGTGTGGCTCAGTATGGAGGTCCCTGGAATGAGCAAAGCCAATAGGTTGACCTTTCAAGGTTTTGGGAAGGAATTAACTGTTTAGGTCTCCACGGAGTTTCTGAGAAATTTGGCTTTATCTAATTTCTGGCTGCGTTTCCGGCCATGTGATCATATGAGCAATATTATTGTTGACATTCACAAGCTTAAGACAAAACAAATAACAAATATAAAAGCACTTGCAAAGTACATTTCACGCTAAAAGAAGCACAAAACGAACTTTTCCAGGGTAAAAAAGCATGATTAGAGGTTTCTTTGTTAAAATAATGTTTTCGAACTTCTAGCATTTCTTGTATAGAACACTAAAGAACCGTTATCGCATTCCTGTTGTCTAGATTGGTCAAAGATGTATTTAATAATATGCTCACTGAGACATCAATACAGACCATATTGTATGGATGGCTCTAGAACTTTATTGATGATATTATATTGATACCTTTAAATAGTCATATGGAGGACTTCAGCAAGGGTACGTACCACTATAAGTTGCGAGCTGTTGCTCAAACCCTACTATGATGAAACGCACCACACACACGATATACCAGTTAAGCCTAGGTACGTATCTTAGGAATCTGAGGTAAATTCAATTATTCAAGAAACAGAATCCCGTGTTACGTCTTCTTTACTACAAGTGAAGACACATATTAGAATATGAGGCAAATACAGTGTGGTATCTATTCACATTTCATGATAGACCTCTCTTCTTTCATCCCACTCTAGCAACCAGTGAAGCTCTTCACAATTCAATCTTCTTGTCAAAAAGTAAATAAAACATTGTGTCGTTTGACACCGGCAAGAGGTATGAGTATTGAAGTGGGGCAAAGAACTATTTCGACAAGTAGACGGCTGTATCGGTCTACAGTAGAGAGATTCTGTACTACCACGGATTTTTTAAATAACTTGATGCTCACATAATGCGTTCCTTTTTGGGAGTATTTCCACTATGTTAAAGTTGCAGGGGCGAATGGTTTGGATCTTGGTTTTTACTTTCAACAATGGAACTGTATTCATGATACAGTTCTCTACCGGGCTAAAAAGAAAATATGCTTCAGTCTTCCCAGGTGAAAGAAGCTACATGGCGATCAGTAGAGACGGTTAATGTGAATGGGAGGAGTGTAAGCCATACAGAATGTTATAATGGACGACTTCAAAAAGGAAAAACGTAAGAATTTGAAATAAACTGACCCAAGACGAATACAGTGAATCTTGGAAGCCTTCCACTGAGTTGAAGATAGGATTGTAAATATTCAGATATCTTTTTTAAACAATGTATTTATGAAAAGAAATGCCTGTAACTCACACGATAAACTGACACAGAAAACACCCAACCTGCTTCCAGGCTCCGAATCTATAGTTGAACAAAATAAGAATGAAACCAGTTCTCTGCTTTTAACCTCTATCCCCTGCTTATCCTTATTTTATCTTACTTTTCAATGTTTCCACTTTTGTTCCCCCACCCCCCTTTTTTTGTTTGCTTTTCACGGCAGTGTCGGTTTTATAGCCTTGACAAAACGGGAGTGGGGGAGGGGATCAATATCTCGCATCTCATACCGAAACACCAAAGTTGGGCCATATCCAAGACGGCACAAATGACTTGTCTCGGGTATTTCTTTCGTCTGATCCTTAGCTGGGAAGAGGAAGCACCTGGGCGTCTCAACTTCCGAGGTCCTCGTTACGACATGTACCACTAGGCACTTTGAAGATAGGTCGGGTCATAATGTAGGTTACGGCAAGTTGACGTGATAATGGTCTCACTTTGCTAGGAAACTTTAGATGCGATTTAACGGTTTGGAGGAAGTAAATGTCATTTCAATATCTACATCTTCTTAATACTGAGAAAAAACAAGCTAGTAAAATTTAAAAAGAAACTGAAATAGAAAATGACGTGTAGCTGCTAGACAGATAATAATAACAACTCTCAGTCATGAGTTGCATGTTTAATCCGACTACAGTTTCCTGTAATTCACAATGGGGGGATGAACAAAAGGCTGACTTATGAGAAGGCGTAATAATAACACTCTACGGATTTTGTTCTACTTTTGTTAAACTCCCAACCCCCATCCAAACGCTATTGTTTTTTTAATCCGATGTTTTCCAATCGCGTGTCTCTAGCGGAGGCAAAGATTACATAAGACGACGCTCACCAAACATAACACCTGGATCTAAACTGCACAGGAAAAGAAAGGAAAATATTAGTTTGTAGAAAGAAAGGTAATGTTTGGATGATATGTGTACATGATTTTACTTGAGCCACACTGAAAATAAACCGGTTATGCTGAAAGCAACTTTGAACCCTCATTTGTGAAAAATGAAGTTTCTCAGAATGTTATTTTCAAAAGACCGTAGGTCTTTATTTGGGGAATCTGAAGAAAATCCTCCCATCTTTACAGATTTCTTACAGCTTTTGATGGCCTAATTAGTGCCATCATGTAATGATAGCGTCCTGGATCCATGAAAGGCTGAAATGCATCCCAGAAGGTGAAATCAATTCATCTGATCAACTCGAAAGCCTCAGCGAAACATGTTTCAGGAACAGTGATCAAAAGAACATACAGTGGTTGTTTCGTCCCTCGTGTGAACATAATATAGAGACAACTCATTAAAGGTCACGCTAAGGAAGGTTCTTTCAGTTTTGTGAATAGACTTCTGTGTGCTATTTATAGACGTATTTCCCTGGCTGTTCAAACAAGTCTCTTTTTGATCATCGGGTCCCTCTGGGGTATTTCATGACATTCAGAAAGAAGCCAATTGACGAGCTAAACCAGTGAGAAAATGTTAGCATGTCCTTTGGCGAATTCTCGAACAGATCTTAAACTTTAATGTTAACATAGCTTTCATTCTCTTTCGGTATTTCTAAGTAACGATTGACTTTTTCAAGCATTTCGCTGTTTAGGACCAATGCTTATATGAGGCTTGAGAATTTAATGACATAGACTGAAATCCTGCTTATGTTGGTAGAGATTTTTTTTGCTCTGAAACACACTTTTGGCAAGTTTGCAAAACTGCAACAATGTCTCCAACGGGGTCACAATAATGAAGCACTTTCACAATACAGGTGGTTACCTTTGGTAGTCTAGGGGTTAGGCTTGGACTCGTAATCGTGAGAATGCAGACTGGGGAACTTGGAGGTTCAGCTCGGTCGGACGACGAAGGATCTTCACCCATTTGGTGCGGTCTTAAAAGAAAAAAGGACGTCAAATTCGGATGCCCCGCCCCTTACATAACATCCGTGTGTTTCACCGGGAGTTAAACCCCTAG